CACGGTGAAAGCGCAAGCATACGGTGCAAGATAGCTACAGGGCAGTGTCTAGGTGCAGAGCATACGTAGGATAATAAGCTATGGACTGGACCACACATACCGGTACCGGTAACAGTTAGGTTTGAAAAATATAACCGAATGTTACATATATACCTACTAATGTAACAAGCAAATGCTGCCAGCAGATAGGATTGGCTCCAACGTTCTGCAGGACCCTCTGATTGGTTTGCCAGTAGATCACACACAGTGATGCTCCTGCCTTGCTGGGAACAAGCCATTTTACTGAACAAGCCAGAGATTGGTACTGAACTCGGTCAATAAGTCTCTCTCAGACAGGCGATGCTATTTGATTTGAATATACGTCACAACAATGTACCTCCAGCGACTCACTGATACCGCATGACCCTACTCCGCATCAACTATTGGAGAGCCAAGCCAAGCCATGGCAGCCCTACTCCCCCACCGGCTCTGCCACCCCATACCACACCTCCTCCTGTGCCTCATTAATCTCTCAACTTCCAAGCCAGGCAACTAAAGAAGCACCATCACTTCCCTTCCCACACCCGTCCCCAGCACCCCTCTAAGCAGCATCCTCCACGTCAGCTTCCCCCACCAGCTCTGCCACCTCATACCGCACCTCCTCCAGCGCCTCATTGATGTCCCCCACTATGCGCGCCAGGGCCTGCCTCACCTCCGCCACCGCTGCATCATACTCCGCATCTAGACGCGCCACCGCACACTGCTCCTCCCACTCGCCCTTCCCGTCCTCCTCCCCATGGCCCCCCGCACCACTGCCCGTGCCACCACCAGCAGCGTTGCTACTGCTGCTGCTGCTGCTGCTGCTGCTGCTGTGCTCACACCCGCACCCGCCTGCCCTGAGTGCAGCAGTGAAGGCGGCAGCCGCAGCTTCAGGTGGAATCCCCGGGAGGGGTGCGGGCATGCCTGACAGCCCCGGGAGGGGCGCGGGCATGCCTGACAGCCCCTGGGCCGGGGCTGCAAGGCCATGGCCTGGAGGAGAGGCCTCTGTGGCGGGGCCTCCTGTGACCACATGTGACTGGGCTTCAGTGGGGGCTTGCGTGCTGGCTTGAGAGGAGGCTGGGATACTGCAGGTTTTAACAGCGGCATCGGGAGAGACCAGTGAGGCATGCGCCAGCTCACGCGCAATGTCACCATCAACACCACCTGCGGGTGCGTCTTCCCCACCTGCAAACCTGGTCGTGCCGACACACTCGTGTGTCTGTGCACCACCGTGGGACCTGAGAGTCTCTGTGTCTCTATCGTCTGTCAGCTGTCCGCCGCCCACACCTGCCTCCTCCTTGCTGCCCTGCTGCCGCTCACCATCACCCATCCACACATCACCATCGGCATCACCATTGGCGCCACCACTGGCAGCACCATCATACTCACGATGCCCAGCGCATCGCCCCTCGCTCTGCTGCAGCCCCGGCTGCTCTTCCAGTGGCTGTGGCTGCTGCAGAGGCTGCGGGTGGTCTCTGTGCCGCTGCGGCAGAAAGGAGACGATTTCAGAGCGCGGGCGGTCGGACGGACGGAGAGACTTGCGCAGCACGTGATGCACGGCCGTCTGGGAAGAGACCAGGTCACATAATGATGTGATGGGATGGGGCAGGAGGATGGGATGTGGCAGGATGCAACGGAGTGGGGTGGCATGACGGGATGGGTTGGGATGGGATGGCATGATCGGATGGGATGGGACGCACAGAATGTGTGGTGGGCGAGGAAGCAAGGGGCAGACGAGGCGAATGTCACACGCTGTTGCAGGTGCAGATGCAGGCGCAGTTGCAAAGGAAATCGTGCAAGTTGTGATGGACGGCTGTCTGGTGACGAAACGGCGCATTCACGTTTGCACATGGGACAGTGGGGATAGAAGCATAGAATGGCATCCTATCCCATCCCATCCCATCCCATCCCATCCCATCCCATCCCACCCTACCCCACCCCACCCCACCCCACCCCACCCCACCCCACCCCACCCCACCCCACCCCACCCCACCCCACCCCACCCCACCCCACCCCACCCCATCCCACCCCACCCCACCCCACCCCTCCCCTCCCCTCCCCTCCCCTCCCCTCCCCTCCCCTCCCCTCCCCTCCCCTCCCCTCCCCTCCCCTCCCCTCCCCTCCCCTCCCCTCCCCTCCCCTCCCCTCCCCTCCCCTCCCCTCCCCTCCCATCCCATCCCATCCCATCCCATCCCATCCCATCCCATCCCATCCCACCTCATCCCATCTCATCCCATCCCGTTAAACCACCCTCCACCGCATGGAGTCTCACCAGGTGCAGCTTCTCCCGCTCCTGCTCCTGCACGCACCGCACAACGTCCGCCAGGTCCGCGCGCCCCGCGCCCTCCGCCCGCAGCTGTGCCTCCACCTCCCGCACCTGAGGGGAGGGGGAGCGCGGAGGGGGACGCCGCCCAGGCGCAGAAAGCAGCAGCGAAATTATCAGACAAAGCGCGTAGTTGTCATTCGCAGCGCATTCTAGCCGCAATCTCTGATGCAAGATGGTAAACACGCAGAGCTCTAGCGGGAAACTACCGTGCGGCTCGTACCTTGAGCGAGCAGCGCGTGAAGTCGGCCGTTATGGCCTGGCACGCGCGGTGGAAGGCGGAGTCCGGCGAGGCTCCTGAGAGGTTGTCCGCGAACGCGCTGCGGGGAAGGACGGAAGGAAGGAGAGTGTGGCACAGACGAGGGAGGGGGAGAGAGGAACGGGAAGTTTTGACTCTTGCTGCGCAGCCTTCTGAAAGCAACACGGAGACGGGTGATTGGTCGACACGAAGGCCGCCGATGACTGAGCTCTCGCGCGGAGACGGTACACGCATCAGGAATTGACGCGCCGTGATACAAAACCGTGAGATCAGCGATCGCTAAGAACGGCATTTTGATTGAGCTGATGGGAATGGGTTGTGACGTGAGTCAGGCTCGGCTGAACGGAATTTGGAACGGAATTTGGTTTTAACGATCTGAGAGTCAGACTAAAAACATGAGGGGGTGATGCGAACGCATGAGTCGCGGTAGAAGGTTGGCATCGTACCCTTCGAAAGCATGGTAGATCCGCGCGCGATCCGCCTGGACGCTCAGGAAATCTCGAAGCAGATCAGCGACCGACATGGCGAGAGAGCTCAGCGGAGAAAGCGGATTGCGACGGCGCTCACTCGCGAAATCGCACAGCCGTAGATGTATGTAGTCAGCAAGAGTTGGCTGCAAAAGCTGGATCGATGAATCAGGCTCGAACTCCTGCGTACTGACATACTGGAACAGCATTTCCCCGCGAGGTTGCAGTGCGACAAGGAAGCTGGAAACGGTGCTGTGCGATGACAAAGGGCAAAAGGGTGCGCAATATTTTAAAACGGTCCACGAACAGATGCGAAACGAATTGGTCCCAAGGAGCAGCAGTAACCCGTGAAACGAACAGAAAAACCCTAGGACATTCCACCGCCCCCCATAGAAGCCTGGAGGAGAGGGCAACGGCCGGTCCTCTTCTGAATACAGCACGATATACCTCAACGCGTGCATTCCCCGCCCGTTTTCGCCGCACAGAACCGACAGGGTTCCATTTCAGCTCGCCGTCCGACCGTCGGAAATTGTATGGCAGACTGGGGCACGGAGCCCTAGGGAACGCCGAACGATCGTCGACATTCCCGTGGGCTGAGAAATACCCACAGAGTATATCTCAACGCGTGGCGAGTTGCCAGCAGGACACGTCGACCGCGGATGCACGACACGCGGCGGGTTACGGACGACCTGGATTATGTCCGACCTCCCTCGAATGTCGGCGTCCACACTGGCGTCCACGCGTCACCCGACCACGCCTCAAGCGTCGCGCGAAAAAGAACGCGCGGGCCGTGAGAATGTCGGTGCGTGACACGCGGCGTCAATCGGCGTCACGGGGTAAGTCTACGTGGAAGAAATCGGCGGTCAAATTGAGCGCTGAAGAGGAACAGGTGGGCACCGAAATGTCGGCGAGCATCGACCGGCGAGGCAGGGTCCAGGTGTCGAGCATCGGCGGCCTGGCACGTGCACAGGAATCAGACGTGGAGGCAGGATAAATGTCGGCGCCGAACACGCAGCGTACATCGAACGGCGATGCCGGGTCCAAGTGTCGAACATCGGAGGACTATTTCTTGCGCGGGAAAACAGACCCCGCGGTCTCCGCAAAGTCGGCATCAAAGTATCTCGTGATGCCAATCACCGGTGGCACGAGTGCGCCATGAATGGACTCTGGACCAATGCCACAAGCCTCGGCGCGCCTTGTATTGCTGCCGTGGCATGCCTTACGAAACACCTTCATGGACAGTCACGGCGGCGTTGTAGTGGCCATGCGAGAGCCGTGGCACGTCGGAGAATGCGCCGCCTCGCGTGGACAGCGGCATGAATGCCAAGTGTACAGAACCTTGCCTGCACGGTGGCATGTGCCGAGCCGCGCACGTCCATGACCTCTCCGGAGCCAAACTGCCACTAGCCATTTTTCCTACTCCCACTTCCTTTGGTCACTTCTTACGCCTGCGCTCTCACACTTAGTTTTTTTCCACCAGGACATGCTCTGCGGAGAACACCGCGGCTCCGTCGTCTGACGCCGACCAACAGGTGAGACCGATTATCGGGGCACTGGGTTTCGTTGGTCGTAGCAGCCGATTTCACAGTTTCGTCGCCCGTTTTAAACGGGAGGCACAATCGGCCAGATCCGTGGAGAAAGGCCGAGACTGGTTTAGGGTTGCGCTGCGTGGTCGGCGACCGGCCTGGTGCAACGCCGCCGGAAACAAACCCACCTGAGGGGGACATCGCCGCGCAGTTGGCGCAAGCTTCTCTCGCCGCCCGCTTAGAGACAGACACTAGGGTCACTAGGTCACTAGAAGCGAACACAACGCAGCAACAGTACGCCGCCGCCGTTACCCAATACCGCCATTTTATGCCCGACCCGCCGACCAACTCGCCGGCTGGCCCTCAGTAGACAACAAGCGCTGTTAGGACATACGGCCGAGGCCAACATGTCGGACTACGTTCCGCTGGCAGCCCAGGCGCGGGTGAACCTGACCGGTGACGCCACAACGCCGGCCGGCGTCCGCCCCACCACCATTCCGGCAGTGACGCTGCGTCTGATTTACGATCTAGATGCGTTGGCTAAAATTCCCGTCGACCCTGACATTCCGCCGCCACCTGTAGGCGACCCCCAAAAGCGACGTCCTAGCCAGCCGGAGGAGGACTCTTCGTCTAGCGATGAGGAGGAGGAACCCCAGCCCGGCCCGGGACCTAGACGCCAACGTCGGCCGCTCACTCGAGCCGAGAGGGATCGAAGAGAGATAGAGGAGGTGTTGGCCGAGGACGAACTCGAGGATAGGCTGAACGCGAGCGTCCCGCGAGGAGAGTTTACGGCGGCTGAGTTTGTGGTCGAGGATCTGAAGAACAGCGACATCGAAGTGCTGATAGCCAATGCCCTTCGCCACACGGAGACGCTCGAGGAAGGGTCGTCGCTGCGGCAGTACATATCGTGGATACTAGACTACAAGCGGTGGGCGGTGGATGCTCTTCCGTCAGAAGGTGACGATCTGGAGCCGGGGTCCATACTCACTGACAAGGACGAAATCGGCAAGCACATCGGCGATGATTTGGGCGAACGTTGGCACACCGCCCCGCGCCAGTTCATCTGGTTGCACGGCCCGAGGACCAACGAGCCTCGAATTCGCGCTTACGTCTTGTTCAGAGCGCGAGAGACCCTCATCGAGGCAATGAGGAGCGAAGAGGGCAACACCGCCATGCGCACGCAGCCGAACAAGCCTTGCACGGTCAACATGCTACTCGGCCGCATCAAGGCCCTTCAGATGGCGGCCAAGATAGAGGCGACCCTGTACAAGGAGAAGGAGCTGCATATCATGCAGGACATCTCGGTCGTCCGCACGGAAGTGCGCGTCATGGTTCGCGGAAAGAACAAAGCCGACACCAAGTAAGATGTTTTAACATCGCCGACTTTGCCAGTCCTCTCTAGTATTCCCGCCAATGCTCACCGACGCCGCTCACACTCAATCATCACCCTCGCACTCTCCTCTTGTGCAGAAAATATGTCGACCGACATCGCGGAACCATCGGCGACACTTACACCACCGAGCAGTTCCGCAAAATCATGTTCAAGGTGTTGCCGTACTGGTCGGCGACGGCGTGGAATCCGGGGGGAACAGGTCCTTCCCAGACTCTGTGGAAGTTCATGCTTATGAGAACGATGACCCTGCTATCGCACCACACTCTGCTCCGCGGTGCCAGCGTACGCGAGATCACGCTCGCCGACATCTTTCTGTACCGCCTTGCTAGCGGGTCGTCGGTGAACCCTGACAACCCGGCCAATGGTCATGGTCATCGCGCAGCGCAACTCGAAGACGTGCAAGGACGCCCGTCTTCATCACAGCTACGCGGCGAGGCACTTAGAGGCGGAACTGTGTGCTGTGGGCGATACAATCCTCTGGCTGCACTTCATCTACGACCAGGTCCCCCAGATCTTCGGCGTCCGCATAATTCCGCCGCTGGACGTACGCCGACCGGAGCTCTGGTACGACAAGCATCTCTTCTTCGCCCGCTAAGACAAGGATCAGGGTTTGCTGCCGTCGTCGAGCCAGCAACGAATCACTCGGCAGCTGTGGACGGCCAACAAGGTTTTCATCAAGCGCAACTTGCACGCCGCTCGCGCCGGCGGGGCACAAGAGCTGGCTGACCAAGGCACGCCGCGCGCCGAGATAGCCGAATTGGGTCACTGGGCTATTGACAAGATGATGAGGAGTTACATCACTTCAATTCCAGTTGGGGTGGTGATGAGGAAGGCCGGCTACTCCGGAGCCCGAAGCGACTACTTCCTGGGCCGCAGCAGGCTACCTCCCAGTGCAGACCTCGAAAAAACCATCGCCGCGCACATATTTCCCGGCGTCGAGGAACAGTTGGGGGCGGTGAGTGTAGCGACGCCGTCCTCATGCATCTTGTCGTCTCTCTTCACTGGTTCACACCGACATTCCTCTATTTCATGCAGGCGGAAGAGCTCGCACAAGGGCCTGAGGCGAATACGGCCGCGGTGCACTTCATCCAGACCATGCTGGATGCACGCCGCATTGCGGCCGAGGACCTCGCGGTGAAACTCGTCCGCACTCCGTGGCACCCTCAGGTCCAGGCTTCGAGGCTTTGTCGGGATCGCAACTTTCAGGCGTGGGCGAAGGACATCGAGAAGATTGACACCGAGATGATCGCCAAGCGCCGGTCGCCGATCCCGACGCAGCCAGCTGTAAGCACAAGATGAACTCCGCGTGACTTGGCGGCAAGCGTGCTTGCATCACCTGACTCCTAACCCGCTCCGCTGCTGTTCGCAGGAAATCTCAGCCCGCCTGGACGCCGAATTTCAGGTCGACCTTCTGAACGAGACGCTGGCCTACGAGAGGCACAAAGCGACGCTCAAGCAGATGAAGGTGGAGAAGGAGCTCGAGGAGGCGCGTGCTGCTATCGCGGCGAGGGACGCCGAGATCTCCCGGCTGATGGAGGAGCTCAAGATCTCCGAGGCACGTAGGGCTCCAGCGCCACAGGCGCCTTCTAGGCCGACGACCCTGGAAGAGGAGGCAGCTGCGGCCGCTAAGCATGCTCAGTTGAACGCCGACGCTCGCTACGAGGCCCTGGTTGTCGACCCATGGAGAAAGGCCGAGACTGTGGCAGAGGCCTGGCGCTTCTGGAACTGCCCCACCACCACGGACCGCCGGCGTCTCTGCGACAGGATCAACGAGCCAGGTTTCATCGGGCGGCACAGCCTCCTGGGCAAGTCGTCGGCCAACGCAAAACAGGGTGAGATGCGCCGAATGAGGAGGGCGATGGAGGCCGTGCGCCACTTCCGCGCGTCAGACGGAGAGGCCGACACCGCCGCCGTCATCAAGAAACTCGACGAGCTCGCTGCGTCGCGAATTGTGACCTTCTGCGATGCTCTGAAGATCATCGACGCCGACGCGCTACCGATACGCACGGAGGGGAACCTGGGCATCAAGGGGCTTTCTAAGGGTGAAAAGCCCAAGCTGACGGTTGCTTGGGGACTGGTGGCGGCGGGATACATGACGCACAAGTGGGGCGAGGACATGTTCGCGACCACGTGGGAAGAGAAGAAAGCTGTGGCGGCCCAAGCGGCCGCGGAGCAGGCCGCTGGAAGACCGCCGCCGCCGCCGACGAAGACGTCCAAGCGTCGGAAGCCGGGCTGATGTTTTGTGGGGGGGGGGGTGGGGGAGTTCGTCGCCGCTTAGCTACTTTCTTTTAGCTCGATTGTGACTTTTGTTTCCGACTTTGACTGTGGATTCAATGTTCCCAACAGTTGAGAATTTGCCAAAGAACCGAAAACATGAGGGCGTTTCATGAACAGCAAATTAACTTACGTGCTAGAAACACAGCAAAAGTGCACAATAAAAGTCGGCGCCCACCAAAACCCCACAATCAATCCACAATCTTGCTACACATTGCGACGTCGGTCCAGAACACAACGACAGACACAACAACAAAACCCATCTACGCGGCGTGCTTCCCCTTCTGTCCCTTCTTTCCCCTGTTATCCATATCCTTCTCCATCTGCTTGTCCAGCGGCACTTGAATGCCGCGTGCTCGGAGAAGGGGGCCGCCGGCGTTGCACGACCCCCAGAAAGCGAGGGTCTCGATAGTCGCCCTCGCGATAATCTCGGCGTCGGGTGTGGGGTCACAGCCCTTGCACGCCTTCCGAAGAGCATCCTTCTGCAGTGCGTCGGTGACGTTGCACGAGACCTCTCCTAGGACGGGTTGTCTCGCAACCGCCGTTTCTAGCACCGCAACCACGACGTCGTGACAAATGTCAGCAAAATCGGTGCTCGCTTCACACAGCAGTGCCGCCGCCTTCGCTTCACCCGCTGCATTGCCGACCTCGGCCACGGTCTCGGCGAAGCACCAGACGGCGCAAGATGAAGCAGCGACAGCTTGGCCTATGCGCTTGGCGTCTGCACCAGTTTTGGGGACGGCATCTACCGCGACTGGCCCAAACGCCGCGCACAAGCAAGCGCGGTTGATGATGTCGCTGAGCTGCTGCTTGCGCTTGGCCGGCTCCCAACCAGTGCCGAACCACACCGCCGGCCTCAGCACTTTCATCAGCGGGGGCCCTGATGACTTCTTCTGTTTGAAGTCGGCGAGGACTTTCTGGAACCTGTCACACACGACGTTGGAACGTGAACGTGGTCAGTCGGCGTAAAACCCCACAGTCAAACCTATATCACGCCGCTCAAAACACATCGAGTCCCACGATTCTTACCGTGCACGAAACATGGTGGCGCCGCGGGACCACATTACCGTCCACATACCCTTCGGCATCACCTTCGCCTCCTCCCACTCCGCCTTCCACCGCGTCATTTCTTCGGCTTTAACGCCGGTCATTTCGGCCAACAGGACTTGGCTGGCGTGTCCGTCGAAGATGGTCGTCGCAACGCCGTTGAGGTACGCCACTTCCATCCTGTCGTCCGATCTCCCCGTGTAGCGACTCTTTCCAGCCAGGTTTACCTCGCCCTGCCACCCGCCACCGCTCGTCCTGTCCAGCCTAATACCATGCCCCCTGCGATCTTTCGGAACGACGGCCTTCTGCGACGCGGCGGCTTTACCCTTCCGTTTCTTCTTTTTTTCGCCGACTCCAGCCGCACGATCGGTCTATCCATCCTTATCGGCGTGTTCACCCACTGGTCCACCGGCCAGAACAGTGGACGTCCCCGCCTGACCCGCTAGGTCCGCAACAGTGACGCCCGCCGACCTGTCCGAAGGCCCGGCCTGGCCGGCCTGAGTAGCCACTGTAACGGCGGTGGGCCGAGTGGACTGTCCCGCCAGACCAGCCTGGTCAGAACCAGTGACGCCGCTCGGGCCGGTCTGGAAGGCCCTATCCACCTGTATGAAGCCGGCAGGATGACTCTGTATGGGCGGAACAGCCTGGACGGCCTGAGTAGCCACTGTAACGGCGGTGGGCCGAGTGGACGGTCCCGCCAGACCAGCCTGGTCAGCTCCACTGACGCCGGTCGGGCCGGTCTGGAAGGCCCTATCCACCTGTATGAAGCCGGCAGGATGACTCTGAATGGGCGGAACAGCCTGGCCGGCTACACTGACGCCGGTGGACGCCAAACGGGCCGGCTGCACGGTCTGCCCGGCCTGGGTGGACGCTGTAACACCGGCAGGCCGACCCTCCACGCCACTGATGCCCGACGTACCTCCCACAGACTGAAGTGCGGCAACTTCGTCTGCTTCCATCGTCGCTTGTATCAATTCCACATCCTCGTCCTCGATGATGAGAGGGATCTCCCCCGCACTATCGTCTCCTGCCACCGCGCCCCAATCACCTTGTCCGGACGCCGCGCCGACCTGGTGATGCGTTGGCACCGCCGTTGGAACCGTCTCGTTTGCCGCTTCTTGGTGTACGGGCTCCCCCAAGTTCACCGTGGTCGGCGCAGTGCGCGTGCCGTGAGTCTGCGGTTGAGCGGATTGTGCAGCTGCTAAAAGCGCGTTGACCTCGGCCATCAGCATGTCCGAGACTGGGTCCGATGGCGTGGCAACAGCGGCAGGGAGCTGCATGGTCGGCGCAGCGCTGGTGACAGTAGTTGGCGGATGCGATGAAGGTGCCGCCGCTTGAAACGAGTTGACCGCGGCCAGAAGCATGGCCGCGACCGGGTCCGTGAGGGTCTGACCGGCGTTGTCTTGCCCCGTGGTTGGCGCTGCGACGGGCCCAGTTGTCGGCGGATCAGCACATGGTGCTGCCGTGTGACGCGCGTTGACATCGGCCGAGACCGGGGCTGTTGGTGCTGTACCGGCGACAGGTTGCGCCCCCCCGCGAGTTGTTGGGACAGCGGCGTTGTCGATGGCGACGGGCTGCTGCTGCGATGGCGCCTGAAAAGCAAGAAGCTCCTCCATCAACGCTCTCGCCACGGGATCATCCTCCACGCCGAGATCGCCCGTGTCCTCCACGCCGAGGGCGCCCGTGTCCCCCCCCCACGCCGACCACAGGAGCCTGGTGAGTCTGATCGCCGATTGACGGAGCCTCAACTTCGAATGGCGGCCCGCGATCAACGCCTGTCGGGAACAACCCGGCGTTGGTACTGGCACCGGTCGCCGTGTTGATGGTAGGTATCGCCGCGTCGGCCTGCACTTCAACCGATTCAACGGCGACGTTACCACGATCGGACGGCGGTGGTGCTACCTCGCTTGCTCCAGGACGTGGAATCTCCGGACCTTTCCTTCCACCGCCGTGAGTGGAAGACCCGCCGGCTCGCACACCCTCCTCGGCGGCAGTCCTGCCCTCCGAGCTGCCGCCGGCTCCGCCTCTACTTTGCGGGCCAAGGAGCCGAGTTGTCGCCCCTTTTCTCCTCAGCATGTCGAGGACGGGAGAACCGGACTGGGCACGATCTGGAACGTCGCCGCCGACTGCTCGCTCCCCACCAACACCTTTACTCCGCTTCGAATTTCCCGCGTTGTCGCCGTCGGCTGCACTTCCGCTGCCAGCCCTTTTTTCCGGCCTTTGCCTTTGCGCGGTCTCCAGGTCGCCGGCTGACGGGGACGAACCACGCTGCCCCAGCCTCATTGTAGCAAGCACGTTGGGCAGAAGCGTGAAGCCGACGGTTCCCAGCGCCTGCTGCGTGACGGCGGTTACCGCCTGAACAATGTCATCCCTCATTGCTTTGATGACTTCTTCAGGCAGCGCGGGGGATGGACCGGGCGGGGGCGGCGCGATGCTGCGGGATAAGCCGCCGAAGATGTTGGTGGAAGTTGAGGCTAACTTGGTCTGGATGTAATCGGCCAACACCGCCTTAACGTTATCCCCCACGCTGGTCACGTGGTTCCCCAACCGCACGTCGGCATCACGGCGGGCGACGGCCAGCTTGTCCAAGCCCTTTGTGATTTCCCCCAACAACGGCGTCGCCATGCTGCTGCACGCCTTGACCAGAGGAACCCGATCATCCAGCACCTTGGTGAAGACGCCGGTCATGGCTGCTGTGGCTGTGGAGATGTGTGTCCCCGCGGTCTGCTCGGCGGCGGCGACGCGTTCGGTAAGCGACTTGACAGCCGCGAGGCACTCAGCCGCCGTCGCCAACAACCCCTCCGTCCGACCCCTCTCGGTAACCAGATCCGACCGCAGCCCCGCATTCTCGTCCCTCAGTTTCCTGTTCTCCTCTTCCAGTCGCTTCACGTGAGCAAGTGCGGCTGCAAACGCCGACTTTGAAGATGTGGTCGACGCAGGCTGACCATGCACCGGCGCCTTCCTACGAGGCTTGTCCCCAGCCGACGCTGCAGTTGCGCCTGTCCCGCCGGTCGACGTCGGGTCACGACCAGCACCGTGGTCGGCGTCTGTGTCCGCCTCAGCACCAACAGCCTTCTTCCCTGCACGCTCCTCCTCCTCCTCTTCATCCTCCTCCTCGGATCCCGACTCTGACTCTGAGTCAGTAGATGACTCCTCAACGGACCCTGCCCTCCGCTCCTCTCCTCCTACCAAGTCAGCCTCGCCACCGCCGCCAACATGACCGCTAGTTCTAGTGTCGTGCGCGCCGGAATACACCGGGCGATCCACGCCAGCTTGAGACGCCGTCTTAGTTTCGATTCCGTCGTCGTCGAGGGGGGTGGTACTTGGCCCAGTAGGGTGATTGGCCGGCGCCGACCGCCTCTCAGCAACGCATCTCTTGACGTATTCCACTAGCGCCGATTTGAGTGCCCTCAACCCCTGAACCATCGGGTTCTCAGCGCTCGCCGGTGCACGTGACTTGAGCAGGGCTCCGCGCTCTCTAACCACCCATCCGAACGCGCTCACAGCATGCAATCCGGTGCCGACCTGCTCGTTCTTCACAATGTCCGGCAATCTCTGCGTACAACCGTTGCAAGGGCAGGCTAGGTGAGCCGAGGGTGTACCAACGCAAGCACAGTTAGACGACCAATTAAAGTCGGCTACAAGGTCGAAAGAAACTCACGTCGCGCGTGGGCCCGTCGCAACCGGCGAGTCGAGCCACCACGACCTCCTCAGCGGGAGGCGCCCACTTCCATGTCCTGTCACTTCTTCCAAGCTCGGCCAAAACACATCGCCGGAAAAAGCTGCAACAGCAGTGCACGAAAGAGTAAGTGGGGACGCCGTCGAGAAACCAGTAACCTGGTAAAGAGCCTTCCCAATTTAAGCATGCCTACCTCAGCACGGCGAGCGCCTCAGACGAATGCAGCCGGTTTGCAGTCTTCGGGTCCAGGTGGCGGAACGAGGTCTCGCTGTCGACGTCGACGGCCTTCAGCAAGTCGCCGGGCCGAAGAACCACGACGACGCTGCAGTGGACCCCGGGAAGCCGCCCGATCCTGCACATGAACCATGTGACGCCGATATAAAACATCGAAGTCCAACATGACGTCAACGACAACGCAACATCGCGCTTTCTCACGTCGTGATTATAGGTAGCACGGCAATGTCGGCGTCGAACACCGACTCAAAACAGGTGAGGTCGTTCTTCTTAATCGCCTCGCGAAGACGGCTGCACCCTATGATCCACGGCTTCAAGTCCATCGAAGCTTCGCGAATCCACATGTACCTGCAGTCAACGAACTCGTGGGGACATGTGGCATCGGTTCAGGATTGCGAACTCGTTGCCGACGAAAGTAGATAGGATAGCGGCCTTGAACGCCGACATGGATGCGCTCACGACAAACCTAGGCGTGAAAACCTTTCGTTGACCGAAATCCTATCGACCGGTAGTAACTAATTCTGCAACGTCGAGTCGGCCTGTAGTTACTAAGTCGGCGGAACAATGAGGTTACTAGGTCGGCGGGAAAAAGAGACACGGACGCCGTCGCTTACTCGCACGCCGAATTAGTAACGCGCTCCAAATAATAACATCCTATAGGTCGTCGGGATAAAAAATGACCGCCGGTTCTATGCTGCAAAAATGGCCGGGGGAATTCGTCGGCTGAGCTATATCATGCTGTACTAAGTCGGCGGAACAGTGAAGTTACTAGGTCGGCGGGAAATGGACATGGACACCGTCGCTAACTCGCACGCCGGATTAGTAACTCGTTCTAACGAATAACATCGTCTAGGTCGGCGGGTTAAAAAAGAGCTACTAAGTCGACGGAAAGCAAAAGTGGACAAGGGTTCCGCCTTGACTGAAGGAGAGACTCACTTGAGCGCGAGTGCGAAGCAAGGCTCGTTGAAGTCTTTTTTCGTGGCGCGCAGCACGGCGAAGTCCTTCTCGTCAAAAGAGAAGGTGAGGCCACGGCCCATGTTGAAGTACAGGGGGAAGTCTGCCGAGGACGGCGTCGGCGTTGCGGCGCCCGGCGTCGGGTGAGCGGCGCCACTATCCAACTCCATGCTTGCAAAGGCACGACACTACAGGCTACCAAAGGCACGACACTCTAGGCTATCTAGCAGCAGCCAGACGCCACACGAGCAGGCCCAGCTCCCTCAGGCTCCGCACCCCCAGGCTCAGCACCTCCAGGCGTAGCACCCCCAGGCTCAGCACCCCCAGGCTCAGCACCCCCAGGCTCAGCACCCCCAGTAGTAGCACCCGCAGGCTCAGCACCCCCAGGCTCAGCACCCCCAGGAGTAGCACCCTCAGGCTCAGCACCCCCAGGCGTAGCACCCACACGCTCAGCACCCCCAGAGTCAGCACCCCCAGGCTCAGCACCCTCAGCAGCACCAGAGTCACCAGTAACCTCGACAGGCTCGACGGCGTCTACCTGGGACACACCTGAAGGGGCAGGACCCTGAGGGGGGAGGGGGTCTACCGGGGGGGGACCTGGCACAAGGAAGAGCGGTGGCGGGGGGAGGGACGGAGTGCGGTAGGGGAAGAGGCGGTAGTAGGGGACCGACTCGTCAAACGTGACGTCCTGGGAGGACAGAACACGGCGAGAGGTGGGGTGGTAGAACTGCCACCCTGGCGCGTCAGGGGGGAAGCCAAGGAAGACGCAAGGAGCAGCACGAGGGGACAGCTTGTCCGCAGACAAGTCGCGGACAAACGCCCGAGATCCCCAGACACGGAACGCAGACGCATCGCCAACCTTCCCCGTCCACAGCAAAGCTGGGGAGGTCTCCGGCATGGAGACCCTGGGGTGAAGGTTGATCTGATGCGCCGCGTACCGAACCGCAAACGGCCACAGAAAATGGGGGGCAGCCGCATGCATCATGGACGTACGGGCGACGTCCATGACCATGCCAATGCGGCGCTCAGCAATCCCATTTTGCTGTGGAGAGTCCGGAAGCGTGAAGGTCTGGCGGATGCCTCGTGCACGACAGTAAGCTCGCAGAAGGCCAGAGGAGAACTCTCCACCTCTGTCAGAGTGCAGACGCAGAACAGGAAAGTCCGAGCCGAAGCTCTGCCTGAGCTGGAGACGAGCTGCGCGGATCCAGTCGATCAACACCTCAGTGACATCACCCTTGCTGCGCAAGGGGAAGACTGTGGTGTAACGCGAGTAGTCGTCAACCACCAGCAGGAAGTAGCGCTCGTGACCCTGTCCACGGACGCGGGCCGGGCCCCACACGTCCATGTGAAGCGTCTGCAGCGGGGCCTCTGTCGGAGGAAACTGGGAGGAGTGAGGGGCAGCCCGCTGCCGCCCCTCGACACAAGGGACGCAGGTAGGGCCTGGCCCCGGAGGAAGGGGAGGGAGGGACCGGGGAAGACCAGGGACAAGGACACGGGAGGCCATGCCTCGGAGACGAATCAGGGAGGGGTGACCAAGGCGGTGGTGCCAGAGGAGAGTCTCGTGCGACAGGAGGCGACACGAACAGGGGGCAGACTCAGGACCAGACCTGGACGCTGCAGCAAACACCTGACCCGACGCAGCTACCTGACCAGACGCAGTGACTGGAGGAGACGCAGTGGTCAGTGTGTACAGGCTCGACTCCGGCCGACGTGTAAACGTGGCCAGGTGTCGGCCTGTCCGAGCGTCCGTGCAGTGGGTCACCCGCTGACTCGCAGGAGTGAACTGGTGAACCCCCGCATCCTGTAGGTCAGCACCACTCACCAAGTTCGTAGAGAACGAGGGGAGGTAAAGACCAGACAGGGTGCCAGAGGGGGCCGCCGGACACGGGAGGACAGTGGAGAAGTGAGCAAGGACAGGACCCCCAGAGGGGTCTGCCAGAGAGACTGCAACTGGCCGGCCAAGCGGCGTGAGTGTGGTGCGGTCTCGAAAGAAGGAGCGAGAAGCCCCCGAGTCAAGGGTGAAGGTGTGGGAGGCCGAAGCCGACGCAGTACCTGAGAGAGCAGACTCACCAGCACCTGAGGGAGCAGACACACGAGCACCTAGAGCAGCAGCCTCGCTAGCACCTAGAGCAGCAGCCTCACCAGTACCTAGAGCAGCAGTCTCAATGCCCGGGTCGGGCGGAAAACACCGGTAACAGTCACCCTCATCACTAATAGTCACAGCATACATGGCAGCAAGAATAGCATCAAAGTCAAGGTCAAAGACAGCTACACCTGCCCTAGACAGCTCGCCCCAGCGGGGGATCTCAGTGGCCTCAGGGAACTGGTGACACCAAGCGTCCGTCAGGCGGCCAAAGCAGCGCTGGGTGGAGTGCGCACCCCCGCACTGCTCACCCGCGCGGTCGCCGGTGCGTAGGACGTAGGTGCACGGACCAGTACCCCCACCCCGCTGGCGTGCAGCGTACCACTCACGGAGCTGCTGAGGGGGGGGGATGTCACGAGTGCGCTGCTGCCGCTGCTGCTGCTGCTGCTGGCGCTGACCACCACCGGAGCCGACCCTCTGCGCAGCGCCACCCCGACCAGCTCCACCTCCTCCGCCGCCGCCTCCTCCACCGCCGCCACCTCCGCCACCTCCGCTCCCACCGCCACCGCCGCCGCCGCCTCCGCCTCCACTGCCGCCACCGACACCTCCACCCCCGCCACCACTCCCACCACCACCCCCACCCCCTCCACTGCCTCCACCGCCACCTCCGCCACCCCCGCCAACCCCTCCAGCACCCTTGCCCCCCTTGCCCTTGCCGGTGCGGCGTCTCCCGCTCGGGGCAGACGCAGCGCCGACCGACTCGAAACCAACGAGGTCGGCCGCAGCAGCAGAGGCAACAGAGGGCAAAAGGGGGGAGGGGGAACACCCCTCAAAGACGGGGGTGCGAGGGTCACCACGAGAGGCTCCTACAGTGACTATGCTCTTCTCTGCTGCTAGGAGGGTCTTCTCGAGGAGGTCAACGGTGAGAGTGGTGGGGCAAACTGAGAGGAAGTGGTCCCTGACTACGCGAAGGGAGTCAGGGAGCCGGGTGACTATGTAGTAGAGGGTGATGTACATGGGGGGGGGGTTCTTGGCGCAGAATTCAGCAGGAAGCGCAGCGCGGTAGCGAGTGTCACTAGTGCGGAGGTGCGTAATGAGGTCAGCGACTGTGGGAAAGGCAGCAAGGTCAGGGAAGAGGTACGGTAGCATGAGGCGGCTCAGTGCAGCAGTGGCAGGGGAGGAGTAGCGCGCAACTACAGCGTCGTACAAGGTGTGAGCACTCTTGTACTGGCTAAAGTGCGCACGCTCAGAGGTAGGCAGGTGGCGACGCACAGCAAGACGTGCAGCAGCATCGCGTGTGGCCCACTGTGAGCGAACAGTGGCGTCGGCATCAGCAGCAGGGGCAGGAGAGGCACCAGAGGTGAGGTCAAAGAGGGAGAGACCGTCTGCCCTATCGCACTGTAGGAAAAGCTGCAGGTCATCTACCCAGACGTCAAAGTCAATGGCCCGACCCTCAGCGTCAAAAGCGAGGACACTAGGGGTAGCCATGACAGCAGTAGACTAGCAGCGCGAACAGTAGGGTAAGGGCAGTGCAGTGACAGAGGCGCTGCTCTTACCGGACAGGGCGGCTCGGGCGGCTCGGCGGCTCGGCGGGTCGGCAACTCGGCGGCTCGGGCGGCTCGGGCGGCTCGGCGGTACGGCGGCTCGGCAGCAACTGCGGCTCGGCGACTCGGCGACTCGGGCGGCTCGGGCGGCTCGGCGGTACGGCGGTGCGGCAGCAACTGCAGCTCGGCGGCTCGGGCGGCTCAGGTGGCGCGGCGGCTCGGGCGGCTCGGGTGGATCGGGCGGCTCGGCAGTAGCTCGGCGGCGCCGGCGGCTCGGTGGTGACGGCGGGGCCGCGTGGGGACGGCGGCGGGGCCGGGTGGAGCGGCGGCGAGGCCGGGTGGAGCGGCGTCGGGGCCGGGTGGAGCGGCGTCGGGGCCAGTAGAGGCGGCGCCGGGGCCGGGAAGGGCAGCTCCGGGGCCGCAGGGGTAGGCGACGGGGCCAGCAGAGGCGGCGCCGAGGCAGGGAAGGGCGGCGCCGGGGCCGCAGGGGTAGGCGACGGGGCCGCGAGGGCGGCTAGGAGGGGGGGGGTCGCGAGGGCGGCTTGAAGAGGCCGCGAGGGCGGCTAGAAAGGGCCGCGAGGGCGGCTAGAAAGGGCCGCGAGGGCGGCGTGAAAGGGCCGCGAGGGCGGCGCGACACGAAGGAGTCGCGAGGGCGGCGGATCGGGGCCGCGAGGGCGGCGCGACGCGGCCGCTAGGGCGGCGCGAGGTGAAGGGGCCGCGAGGGCGACGCGACGGGGCCGCAAGCGCGACGCGACGGGGCCGCTAAGGCGGCGCGACAGGGTCGAGAGAGGGGAGCGCGACTCGGGCAGTGGAGAGCGCGCTCCGGGCAGGAAAAAAAATGTGGTGGGCCCTAGGAACAGTTCCCACAGGGGAACCTGCTCGATACCATGAGAAACTGAACGAGAATGAATTGACTAAGGGAAAGTTGGGTACAAATGTAAACCCTAGAAAACTGTACCCCATATGTGCTACCCCACTATAGCCTACAGTAGCTATGTCATATAAATCTGACAGTAAGTTGTTTGCGTTTCTCCGTCCATTTTCCTTTCCTTCGTTTATGTATCATTGCTAGTATTTGTTTTACCTCCATGTTTTCCTTCTTTTTTTGCTACATCCGTACTATCGCGTCAAACTTTGTTTACTTATGCTCATAGATCTATCTTTTGCCGTTCCTTTACAAAAACATGAACGTGAGCGAGAGAGAGAGAAACAGATAGTGAGAGTGACTGCGAGCATGTCATCGTTGATTGTATAAAGAAAAATGAACTCGAGCGAGAGAGAGAAATAGATAGAGAGAGTGACTGGGAGCATGGCGTAGTTGATTCCTCACTCTGACCGAGTAGCATGTCGTTTTATTTTGTGAACCTTCCTTATTGCGTCCACCCCAAACTCGTTCTGTCTCGTTCTCTCTCTCGTTCTCTCTCTCTCTCTCTCTCTCTCTCTCTCTCTCTCTCTCTCTCACACTCTCTCTCTCTCTCTCTCTCTCTCTCTCTCTCTTTCTCTCTCTCTCGTTCTCTCTCGTTCGTTCTCTCTCTCTCTCTCTCTCTTTCTCTCTCTCTCTCTCTCTCTCTCTCTCTCTCTCTCTCTCTCTCTCTCTCTCTCTCTCTCTCTCTCTCTCTCTCGTTCTCTCTCTCTCGTTCTATCCCTCTCGTTCACTCGTTCTCGTTTGTTCTCTCTCTCGTCCCCTCTCTCTCGTCCTCTCTCCCTTGTTTTGAATCCATTCAGGTTTTCTCTGCTTCTTTCTTTCGGTTGATTTTCTTTCACCGTATTCGCTCTTTATCCCTTCTTCTCGTTCATGCTTGTTTTATTTCTTCACCAGGTTGCGCGTATGCCAGATTAACTACCTTACGATTGAGCCAAGCGATTGGGAAATTTTGGATTGTGGAATTTGATTTAGATTGCTGTTCATATATTTTGCATCTTCTGTTTTCATTTCTTCCTACTTGTCTTTTCTGTTTATGCATTTGTATGCGGTTCTATCATTGTCAATTTGCCTTCGTGTGTGTGTGTGTGTGCGTACAATCATTGTGTACATGCATGTTTATTTTTTTACGTATGTTCATCATTGCATCAACAATGCATGTCTGTGAATTTTAAAAAGATGTCTCGGGTCTATCATTTCACAAAAGGTTCATTGGCGCACAAAGTGACTCGTGTGTTGCCACTTCGAACTGGATTTGATAGGCTTGACCATTTTTTTTGGATTTACAGATTGTGTTGTTCCATGTGATAGTTGATTATTCAAAATCTATGCTATTGACCTCCTCCCCATGCTAGGCAGAGGATGGCGTTAGCGTAGTTTTTGGGTCGTTAACTGTCACGCATTTTATTACGTGAATGCATGTGCATTATGATTCATGACATATCATATTAAACATTATGCATCTTATAGCATTATTTAAGCATGTGCATTTATTTATCATTACTACAACATCATTTAATAGAACGTATAATGCAAACAGTACAACACATCTGCACAAATCACCTAATGAATGAAAATCATACGGTTTGATGTACTGTGAACAGCATTGACAGTATAGGAAGGGTTTTTAGCTTTATATATGACTTAGCTTCTGTAGGCTATAGTGGGGTAGCACATATGGGGTACAGCTTTCTAGGGTTTGTACTTGTACCCAACTTTCCCTTAGTCTTTTCATTCCTCGTTCATTTTCACATGGTATCAGAGCAGGTTCCCCTGTGGGAACTGTTCCTAGGGCCCACCAACTTTTTTTTTTCCTGCCCGGAGCGCGCTCAGCCTCTGCCCGAGTCGCGCTCCCCTCTCACGGCCCCGTCGCGCCGCCCTTACGACCCCGTCACGCCGCCTCAGCGGCCCCGTCGCGTCGCGCCTCCCTAGCGGCCCCGTCGCGTCGCCCTTGCGACCCCGTCGCGCCGCCCTCGCGTACCGTCGCGTCGCGCCGCCCTCGCGGCCCTTTCGCGCCGCCCTCGCGGCCCTTTCGCGCCGCCCTCGCGGCCTCCTCGAGCCGCCCTCACGACCCCTCCACGCCGCCCTCGCGGCCCCGTCGCCTACCCTTGCGGCCCCGGCGCCACCCTTCCCGGCCCCGGCGCCGCCCTTCCCGGCCCCGGCGCCGCCTCTGCTGGCCCCGTCGCCCCACCCTTGCGACCCCGCGGCCCCACCCTTAAGGCGCCGGTCGCCACCCTTCGTGGCCCCACCGCCGCCCTCAGCGGCCTCGTCGCCGCCCCACCCGGCCCCGCCGCCGTCCCCACGCGGCCCCGCCGTCACCACCGAGCCGCCGGCGCCGCTGAGCCGCCGATCTACCGAGCCGCCGCTGCTGCCGAGCCGCCCGAGCCACCCGAGCCGCCCGAGCCGCCGAGCCACCTGAGCCGCCCGAGCCGCCGAGTCGCCGAGCCGCCGAGCTCCAGTTGCTGCCGAGCCGCCGTGCCGCCGAGCCGCCCGAGCCGCCCGAGCCGCCGAGTCGCCGAGCCGCCGAGCTGCAGTTGCTGCCGAGCCGCCGAGCTGCCGAGCCGCCCGAGCCGCCCTGTCCGGTAAGAACGGCACCTCTACCACTGCGCTGCCCTTACCCTACTGCTCCAGCTGCTAGTCTACTGCTGTCATGGCTACCCCCAGTGTCCTCGCTTTTGACGCTGAGGGTCGGGCCATTGACTTTGACGTCTGGGTAGATGACCTGCAGCTTTTCCTACAGTGCGACAGGGCAGACGGTCTCTCTCTCTTTGACCTCACTTCTGGTGCCTCTTCTGCCCCTACTGCTGATGCAGACGCCACTGTTCGCTCACAGTGGGCCACACGCGACGCTGCTGCCCGTCTTGCTGTGCGCCGCCACTTGCCTACCGCTGAGCGTGCACACTTTAGTTAGTACAAGAGTGCTAAGACCTTGTACGACGCTGTAGTTGCACGCTACTCTTCCCCTGCCACTGCTGCACTTAGCCGCCTCATCCTGCCGTACCTCTTCCCTGACCTCGCCGCTTTTCCCACAGTCGCTGACCTCATTACGCACCTGCGCACTAGTGACACTCGCTACCGCGCTGCCCTTCCTCCTGAGTTCTGCGCCAAGAACCCCCCCCCCTATGTACATCACCCTCTACTACGTAGTCACCCGGCTCCCTGACACCCTTCTCCCGGTCAGGGACCACTTTCTCTCTGTTTGCCCCACCACCCTCACCGTTGACCTCCTCGAGGAGCGCCTCCTAGCAGCAGAGAAGAGCATAGTCGCTGTAGGAGCCTCTCGTGGTGACCCTCGTGCCCCTGTCTTTGAGGGGTGCTCCCCCTCTCCTCTCTTGCCCTCTGTTGCCTCTGCTGCTGCGGCCGACCTCGTTGGTCTTGAGTCGGTCGGTGCGGCGTCTGCCCCTAGCGGGAGACGCCGCACTGGCAAGGGCAAGGGGGGCAGGGGCGCTGGAGGAGCTAGCGGGGGCGGTGGAGGCGGCGGTGGAGGCGGCGGAGGGGGTGGGGGTGGCGGTGGGGGTGGTGGCGGGGGTGGGGGCGTCGGTGGCGGCAGTGGAGGCGGAGGCGGCGGCGGCGGTGGCGGTGGGAGCGGAGGTGGCGGAGGTGGCGGCGGTGGAGGAGGCGGCGGCGGAGGAGGTGGAGCTGGTCGGGGTGGCGCTGCGCAGAGGGTCGGCTCCGGTGGTGGTCAGCGCCAGCAGCAGCAGCAGCAGCAGCGCACTCGTGAGATCCCCCCCCCTCAGCAGCTTCGTGAGTGGTACGCTGCACGACAGCGGGGTGGGGGTACTGGTCCGTGCACCTACGTCCTACGCACCGGCGACCGCGCGGGTGAGCCGTGCGGGGGTGCGCACTCCACCCAGCGCTGCTTTGGCCGCCTGACGGACGCTTGGCGTCACCAGTTCCCTGAGGCCACTGAGATCCCTCGCTGGGGCGAGCTGTCTAGGGCGGGAGTAGCTATCTTTGACCTTGACTTTGATGCTATTCTTGCTGCCATGTATGCTGTGACTATTAGTGATGAGGGTGACTGT